AGGGCTCCGCTACCAGTATTGGTAGCTGGCAGGCTCAAGTGCAATGCTCAAGCAAAAGAGGCTGTCAACTGGGGTGTTCAAAACCTGTATGAACCGAAGGTCAACCAAGACCAAAACAACAAGGGCCTAAACCCTTCCAAGTCGGATGCAAGCCGATGCAACCTTTTCACTCACCTCGTAGCTCCATGGCGCGTTCACGCGCATTCAAGGCAAAAGGACGTCCTGGGATTTGGGCCCATGCGATCCGTCGGTGGTCAATCATTCAAAGACCTGAGGGGACATCAAGTGGCTGTACCTGTCATGTTCGTTTTCCAAGAAACACCCCCCCTGTGGTCTCCATGTCCGGATCCTGCGCGTGCAGGCACGCACGCTGCCGCTGCAGGATGAAATCGAAGAGGCGTTTCTGGCGCTGGATGGACTCGTTTTGAGGGCTGGGTTTAGTAGACTCTTTGGCGGGTTCACCCGGAAGATTCCAACATATTCTACATTATTGTTATTTTTGTACATACCCCCGAAATGGTAACTTTTATGGCATTGTCAAACATGTCAAAAAATCGTCAGACTGGCACTTGAGCCAGGAGCTAAAGGCATGGGAAAATGATGTTGTCTTCACAAATCACAAGAAAGGAGGTCTTTCACTACCATGAGATCCAAACCCGCTTATGCGAGGGAACATAGTCACCCTGGGTCATATTTGGCATGGAACCACATCCAGCAATCACCGATCAATCATACCCCTTCGCAAAACTCACATGGAACCTGAGAATTCACCAGGGTTCCATGTTCATCTGCAGGGGAGTATCAACTCTTCACGTGAAACCGACCTTGAGGGAATTCCCCCCCCACATGTGTGTGATCCAGATCTTGGTGGAGGCGATGTCAATTTCAACGAACCAAACGAACCACCAATCCATGCAGCACCGAACCATCTGAAATGGATCGATTTCGTGCGACAATGCTATGGTGCTCTATGCTGCTGAGATCACTTGTAACAGGCTGCAATGAGTTGTCTTTTGAGTTGTCTTTCACCGGCTTGCTGTGATGATTACGTAACCCCTCCCACAGCCAGATCACTCCACAGCGCCACGGTTTCAGCACTGTTTCCGCATGCGACTAAGGGCTCATCTTGAAGCAAACCAGGCAGCAAACCTGAAGAGCATTGGATCAAAACACGGTCGCAAGGATCCGAAAACACCGTCAACACAACTGGTAGTTCTTTACATGAACTGGTATATCCCAGTATATCCCAGGGTGTCTTGAACAGCATAGTGCATCTATAAGTGAACCCCTGAGACACCGTGAAGCCCTTTGTGAACTGAAGGGGTGTGCTGCGACTGCCAGGGACAAAGGGCAATACCATAGCTTCATGGTTACTAGTAACTTCAAAGACCGTTACTAAGCTTCTTGTTAAGTAGGGAGGGAGGGAGCGGGCCAAAAACAAACAATCAACGTGATTCTCTTTGCTCAGATGTTTGGCTTTCGGAAAGACACGGGCCCCCGTGGGCCCGAAACTGTTGACGCAGGCCCGTTTCGCCAGCAACCAATGGTGTTGAGACCTATGTAGCGTCCGATCGCTCCGTTCGTAGAAATGCTCCAACACGTCCGACGCTCAAGCTCTTCATCCGACTCCAAAACACTGTCGGGGCAGGACCAACAGCCCGAGAAACATGCATCTGGGACACCCCAACCATCAAGCAATCCATCTACTTGGGTCGATTTGCACGACACCAAGATCTCTCCGCAGCAACAGAACAAGTAGAAACAAAGATCTCAGCCATGCGGTGCAAAAGACCATGTGATCCATGACAATCCTCATCCACCTACCTCAAAGAACCGTGAGTCAGAATGCTTCTTTCACCCTCCGCCGAAACCATGCGCTCTCTCTGGCTCGTCTTTCTTTTTTCTGGGCGTGCCCGACCGTACAGCATGAAGTGCTCTGGAATCAGCTCCTGTGGCACTTCCCACAACGAGCCATTGGGCCAGCTTGTGGTCAAGAGCTCCTGAGAGGAGGAACGGAGGAGCAGTTCGGTGCATGCCGGCCATACACTTTTGGCACTACTTTTGGCTTGAAAAAGTGGTTACCCCCGGGCACCCCACATATGTGGAAGGGCTTTGGGGGGCGAACCATTGGATCGTTCGCAAGTGAGTGTGGCTTGAATCGGCTTGAAAAAGTGGTTTGTCCAGATGTGAGTGACCGAGTCAAGTCTTGCGAAAGAACACCTTAGCAACACTGAGAGCTGGCCAGGAATCATCTGACGAGCTTTGTCTTTTTCACCCAACTCTATGACAGGCCCCATGTCATTTTCCTGCACCCTTCCCCACTCTGCTCATCCTCTTAAAGCCGTTGGGTCGATCGAAACGTCGGTGTCCGAGGGGCCGACGTGGACCGTGGTGCCATGTGGTGCACACCGAGCTTCGCACCGGAACCCATCTGTTTTCGGAAGGATGGTACCCCACCATCCACAAACACAGTATGTAGACATGCCGGCATGGTTTCAATGTTGACATCAAGTCGATAATTTGATTAAAATTCAATGACTCCGACCAAAAAACGTTCCAACACAATTAAATGATCAGCAGAGATTTATACCGAAAACATCTGGCGCGACCGTCGCTCCTTGAGTCTTTGCAGGTCACTTCGGCTGTGCACTTCCACCGCCAGGCGCTGGACACGCTGCCAATGGGACCTGGTTGCGGATGGACGTCAGCTGCACTCCGACGTCTGACGTCTCGTGGGTTGGACGTCTCCGGCTGTCCAGGAAGCCCGCAAAAGCACCAGAGTCTTCCCCAGGAACCTGGGGGGTTTCACCCAGGAACCGGGCAAAAACCACCACATCACCTGATCTGCCATCCCCCAACATTTCTGGCCCAGCTCTGCGAGAAAGAAGAATCTCCCGAACGGGTGGCTGCGAACTAAAAACCATGCTTGGCATAGCTGTTGTTTTGGTGTTCAGCGGCCATGTTCGTTCACTTCAGAGACTCCAAGACGACACGACATCGACTCACCTGTCCCAAGTACAACTCGATGATCTGTGCGCCACTGGACGAGATTTCACAGGCTTTTCACGTGCCAAATCCACTCTGGTCCCAAATCCTTTCTCCTATAATTACTACACTCCCTGGAACTAACATGGAAGTGGAGAATGGCCCCTTGGAAGACCATTTTCCACTACAAACAGGTGGTTTTCCACTTCCACGTTAGTTCCAGGGAGAGTATATCCAAATGTCTCCCAGTTGTACAGAGGAAGAAATGTGTGCCTGGCTCCCTGGGTCAGGGTTTCTTCACATGTGGGTCAAGACCCTGCACTCCCGCGAGAAACATATCCAAAGCATCCAACAAAAACATAGCGATGGCCTCCAACCTAATGCCATTTTGCCTTAGTGCCATAGATGTTCAAGAAGTTGGATGTCTCCTCCTACTGAGGATTCCCCGACTACATAGGCTCCCTGAGGATTGCCCTGTCATCAAACCTTCAGAAGAGGGAATCCCCGCCGGACCAGTGGCAGGACGAAGAACGAAAGACTCCAAAATGCGCTCATGGGGATGTTGAAGATCTCCCAGTACTTACCGAGTGACATCAAGCAAGCACCTAGGACTCATGAATTAAATCTCCGGCAAGTGGCAGAATTAAGGGTAATGTACACATATCTCGCTGACACAGGAGCTTGACAACACACAAATCACCCACACTGTAATTTGCCCAAACTCCATATACAGTGTGAGCATTGCGCATGTATTTCCCAAACCTTTCCTTGCAGCAACAAGCACTGGGGTGAACAGCAAACCTTGTACGACAATGGAATTTCTACATTAAAGCCCCATCTAAACGAAGATGTTGGAGTTCCAGGTAGTTGCGCAACTCATTCTCACTGGCAACATCCACTCCCAACATCTGCACCCAACATCTCCCCGCGTTTCGCCACTTCTTGTTTTGCGTGGCGTCCGTCCATCCAAGTGTCGGGTCGATACCCTTCATGGCCTCCACTTCAGACCCCTCAATGTCCAACTTCAACCTCCACAGCTTCGAACGAAACACCGAGCGGCGACCGGAGCGGCGACCGGTCGAGCGCGGAGCGGAGCGGACGACTTCGGCCAGCGGCTGCTGCACGAAGAGGAAGGAAGGACATGGCTCATGACTTCTACTTGTCAGTGCCACTTGTCAAAGCGAGTTGTGGTCCAAAACATGCAGTAGGGGACTTCTCACGAGGCTGTCGGTATATGTGTTTCTAAGAACCTATTTCTGGTTCGCCAAGTCGATTAGACCAACACCCCAAAAACCCCAAACAGGCTATTTTAGCCTGTCACCCTTGGGATGCGAACCCCCTTTTGGGACTTGACCCCAGGCGTTCTGGCTCAGAACCTGCCGCGCCCGCAGACAGCGCTCTGCGCTCCACGTGGCCGAGGCGCAGGGAGATGGGCCGCTCTGAGTCGGCCCGCCGCGCCGAGCAGCGCTCCACGCGGCGCAGCGCCGTGGACAGGGCGCAGCAGCGGATGGGCTCCGCGCGCTCCGCCGCGAAGAAGATCCTCGGTGCGGTCTGGGACGTGGGCGAGTGGGGTATGGGGTATGGGGAAGATGAAACAACACACACACACAAAACAACATCATATATTCATTTGCTATGCATTTGCTATGCTTTATGTTTTCCTGCTTCTTATGATATGCCACTAAGGGTGCATGGCATGCAAATGTTGAGAGGAAGCAAGCCAGCAAAGCTATTGTAGGTTTCTTTGGGTCAAAGTATGACAAACAGCCAAGGTCAACCATGGCTCACGCTGAGAGCACTCAGGATCAAAATGTTGAATTATCATTTTTTTATTGTTCTCACAATGCAGTTGTATATTGTTATGCCCACTGGTAAATATGGCAGGGAATAGTTTCTTCTGATGCTGGTGGTTTTGTCTTTTATGCTGGAGGCTGGAGGGTTCATTCTATTCCTGGCGGTTCTTTTTCTGAGTTCTGAATTTTATGTTGGGGGGCTCTTTTTCTATGCTTTTTGTGGGAATAGTCGTGCTTTTTGTCATACAAACAGGCAAGCAAACAACGCAAATCCGGGCCAAGAGGGTTTCCTCGACTGGGACTGGGGATTTTCAGTGAAGCTCACAGCTGCGTTGTGTGAAGATCTGGCCGGCTTTCGACAGAACAGATTCAAATCCCCAGAGGATTAAACAACTGCACGGCTGCGGCTGCAGGTCGTGGCCTAGTTGTAGTGATTGTCAGGGCGTGATACACCATGATCAGCGTGTGTCGGCCCACTCTTGACACCTGCCGGTGCTTGATCAGCCTGCAGGCAGTGGTTGTGTAAGCCTCCGTGGCCTGGCCAAGGAGTTTGTGTCCAAGAAACTTTTAACCTGCATGTTCAACGAGTTGAAGGACCCAAGCTTGACCGAGTCGATAGTACTACAAGTATTGCCGCAGGTGCGTGGTGAGTTGCAAATAACTTCGCTCAGTTCATGGCAGTTTCAGCCAGGATGGAACACACTGCCTCTCTTTTCCCCTGGCATAGACCTCCTAGAGTCGCAAGTGTGGTTGACACCTGCTGCATGACCAATGCTGACTAACATGTGATGGTTTGGGTGCAGGAACTATGCACCGACACATCTGTGTGCTGCGTCACAGGTGATCAGCAGGATCATCGATGATCCCAGAGCTGTGCTGATGGCCGCGGTCGCCACGCGGTCGCTCCCAACATCTCCCTCCTCCCCCTCCTCCTCCTCAAAGTGAATGAAAGTTCTGCGCACCTAAGCGACACCAGAAAATTAGAAAGTCCGGGAGTAGGTAGGTCTCCTGAGGATGGGACGTGTGGTAGAGTGCATGAACCAATGGTCACAGTCTCGCTAGCCGATCCTGCTAGCACGTCACCATGTCAGCTCATTGCGTCAGCTTTCATGTCTGCGATCTTCGAGACCTTCATGGCAGGGAGACCGTTGGATCCTGTCCTGACGCTCCGCGCATGATGACAAGCTGGTGAAGCTGAACATGAAGTGGACACGGCTAGGACCTAGGACGACCCAGCCTAGAGGCGGGGTCTAGGACGACTAAAGGGACGGAGGATCTAGCCCCCCAAACATAGCGGCTGGATGTGCAACGGCTCAACCAATCTAATTTACTGTGAACTACAAACATGTGCAAGGTCGTGGACATACAAATTTGTGGATATACAAATCATTTAATTTATACAGCCAAATGATGTCTCAAGCATGGTCTCTGCCCGTCTCTACCGAAGAACATACTGTGATAGATGTAGGGAAGTAAGAAAGCAAGCTCGACATTCTCATGCAACCTCCAAATGATAAGCATCCTTCCCTCGGGGGGTCGCGCCGCGGGGGGAAGCTTCATGCCCAAGGCTCTGCACTAGACGCGGATCGAAGCAGCCCCTCTCTTTCGCAAGGTCTTTGGCCTTGGTCCGTCCAGTTCTGCCGGCCCGTCCAGTCTGCCCAGACCCCCGAGTTCGGTAGCCAGCTGAGGGCCTCTCTAGACCACGAAAAATGGCTGGTCAGCTGGTTTGATAGGAAACTGAACTTGTTTTTTTGGCAAATAGCGTAGCAGTGAAAAAATCACGTTCCAAAGCTCCACGTCACGTCCCCTCCACGTGGGCCCCGACGTCCGCTATACAGCGAAAGAGGCGTCCGTCCGCGCGTATCGTCCGTCCAGGTGGCTGCGCGGTGCTGTTGCAAGGTCGAGCTGGAAGTGAGGTAGGGGAAGTAGCAAAGGCGATCCTGTTCCGCAGGTAGCTCTTTGGGACAATGATGTCGATCATCTGACCCCGTTGTTGACCCATGGTGCACACTCCAGACCGACAGATTCACCTACTCGTGGCCCATCCCTGGCCAGTCCCCAATGATCCCAATGTCAGTTGAACATGTCATGAAATCCACTACAAACAGGTGGTGCCATCCACGGAACCATGTTAGTTCCAGGGACCATCTTTCGGAGAGCTCTTCGGGTCTTCAGAGTTCGACGTAACTTCTTCGGGTCCACCCAAACGACGCGACGCTGCGATCACCTGCGATCACCATGGTTGGCCTGAAATTCACACGAACAGGAACGAAGGTCTTTGGGAAAGAACCAAGGAACAATTCAATTTCACCACACGAAAACATGGCCGGCGTTCCCCCAATCGTCTTTGGCCCCAGCATCGTGACCTTTGAGCCCAACACCACCGATGTTCGCGTCGCCCGTGGCCTCGCGCTCCACGTCACAGAGCGCCAGCCGAAAGCAGTGCACCACCACCGGCGCATCGCCGAACTCCGCGCCCTCGACCACCGCGTCGTCGCGGTCGCCGAACTCCGCGCCGTGGGCGACCAAGGGCACGCCGTGGTGACGGAGGTTTTGGAGCGCCAGGTGGTAGGTCTCCTGACGGGGACTGGCAAGGTCGGTCAAAGATGAGATCGGCCTTGGGCGCGGAAAGAGTTCAAACATATAGCATTCCAGTTGGTGTTTTGGGCATGGTATACACTGTTTTTGATCCGCCTCCATATGCTGATGCACATAAAAGAGACTGCACCCTTCGAAAATCTGACAAGTAGAAACATGTACAACGCCTCGTAAATGAATGTCAGCTTCCTAATCACCTCTGGCAGTTTTCATGCTCACCTTTAAAGGGTTGCCTAACAGTGCATGACTTGAACAATGGGTCTGTTTTGAACGTTGTTAATTGGACCTGGCTCTTGCGCCTTTGAACCTTTCCATGACCCAACTTGCTTTCCCTGTGCAGCAGCCATGACCCGCTGAGGAAAAGCTTGCCTGTCACAGGTGACAGGATGATATTTGCGATATTTGAGGATGGGACACTTGGAGCAAGGAAATCCTCAGAAATACACTCCCCGAGATTTGGTGTGTTCTATGGAGTTTTGTGAGTTCATACCCACAACGGGTTCTTAGATTTGGGACTCTTTCTTGGATTCAGTGAATTTTTTCTTGGGTACATGACAGCACCAGCAACAGTGGATAGCAAAGGCCTTTCTTTACAAAACATATCATCCTACACTGTAAATGGGACACACCCTATTCATGCCTATTCCTATGGCTGTGTACATGAAATACGTTGATTCTTCGGAGCTTTGCCAGATTAAAGTGGATGGCTAGCCCAATGGAGGCGTCCGAGACGCCCCTGTTTTCTTCTACCCAAACGCGACCCTGGACCCTCATATTGGAGGGGTCAGGGGTCTCAAAACCCTAGGTTTTGAGGCAGCAGTCGGGCTGTGAACGGAGCGTCTGGGTAGGTCTTTTGCATGGGACGCCCATCTCCGCGGTGTCGAACATGTCCCTCACACCCACTCGCCTGGCACACTGTGCCCCGGCTGTGGCCTACGGCACGCGAACCGGCGAACCGGTGCGCCTCGGCCGGTTCGAAGGCCACCACCGTGAGCTGCCCCGTGCCACGCCAGCGCTTGGCTAGCACCAGGCCTGAGGACTCACCGTGGATTTGGAAGTGAATCGAAAGGAACGCTCATTTTGGGAGCAATGCAGGACCAACTGAAGAATGGAAGGCAATGGAACCCTGGGCCCTTGGACTCCAAAAGGTGTTTGTGGGGTAGCTTCTTTTCTCAAGTCTGAAGTCTTGCACATTTATATAATTGGACAAACTGCATGATTTTACATATCATTCCACTAGAAGCCACCGGCTAGCTGTACTTCAGATAAGTTTTACAGGTGCCTGGATACATCTGTTGTTGAAGTAACCTAATGCAACATAAAAATAGATGAGCGGACACTCTCGCATACTGCAAACAAGTACAAATGCTTCAGGACTGGTCAAGCTAGGCTTAGCATCGGACGTATCCGCAGCCAAAGGTTGGATGTCAGATTATAAACAGCTTTGGCTTTGGCCCACCTTTTTAAAGATTCTTCAAGACAATGGACACATTTGTCATTAACCTCATGGCTGAAAACGAAAGTAAGTCAACATATTCGCAGCACATTCAACACTCAGTGCCACTCAGTGCTTGAAAACTGGACTTAGCAGCGTGTTCAGCGACTGAGGGGACTCTTTGAGACTGTTCATGACTAACGTACTCAATTTTTGAGTACATTTGATTCGTACTCAGAAAAACCTTTTGATGGGACTCGGACTGTCATGTATCGTGGACATGATCCTGTGGGTAATAGAAGAAGGATCCTCCCCGCCCAGCATTCCAGTCGATGGTCAAGACCGATAAATCCCAGCTTTTTGCCAAAAGACAGGAGGATGGATGCTTTTTCATGTCTTTTGAACTCCTCAGCCGTAGCTTGGACCCCCTCCTCACCTCTGCCCTTTGCCGCGGCTCGCAGACTCGGCCCAGGCACTGAAGAGTCCCAGGTTCATCCCTCCATCGACCACGATGGAGTCGCCTGGCAGCTTGGAGAGCTCTCCATAGCTGTGCTCCTGCGGTTTCCCCCCTCCGCTCCGCTCCGGACAAGCACTCACTCGCACCCGAAAGCGAAGAGTAACGGCTCTGAAGTCTGTGAAGCCTCCTGCCAGGAACCCTTGAAGACCAGTGAAGTCCATCCCCCGAAAACACCCCTGACCCGTTCCTTTCCTGATGGTCTTCAGTGACGACCCTGTCCCCGTGTTTCTTTTTGTAACGCTGAAAAGAAAAAAGCTAACACTCAAGCTGCGGGTCGTGTTTGTTCGTTTGGCTCCGCCTCAAGAATGACCCCCCACCGGAAGAATGAACCGTGATAACGTGCTTTTGGGGGTCAAGGTTTCAGGAAAGTTCACAATCAGGAAAAACGGCCGGGTCTCACATCCGCTCTGTCTCTGCTCGCGGAAGTGGACACATAAGAACTTACAACTCATCTCCTCGGCAATTTCTCGGAAGATGAACTGCACCTCTCCACTGCTGCGGCCCAGAACGCTCAACTCCTCTGCCTCAGTCGGAAACACCATCTGGGTGTGTATGTATACATAGAGAGATCCTCTGGACCACTCTTGGGAAGTCTTCCTCTCTTTAACACGAGTCTCACTTTCTTTGTATATCAAAAACAACCTGACAGCTCGCTCTAGAGGTTTGCCAGGACAAGTGACCTTCAGTGACAGGCAATGCAACGGGTAACCTGTGGATGCAACTCCTATCTTGAGCTGGTTGATCAAATCGACCATGACCAAAAGCTGGCCCAAAAAATGAGCGTCTTCAGGTCCAGTTCCACCCCAAAACAAACTAGACTCCCTTGGTCCAGGGCATCTCCCCACAAAACTCCATTCCTACTCACCGAGATCAAAGAAGAAATCAGACACTTCTTTTCCATCTTTTCCATCGATCCATACAGGTGGCCTTTTGCGCCCTGCATGGTCTAGAAATCAAAAACTTCTTTCAGCAAAAACCAAGAAGTCTTCACCCTCCGCATCCTCGCAGAGCTCAATGCGATGAACTGGCCTCCTCAGATCGGGCCCCGGCCGTGCCATTGGCAGCTCGGCGGTTTCGGCTCGGCTGGCGAACCGCTTCGGGCGTATTTGGTGTAAACCAAAAGCGTGGTTTCCCAAACGCGATGGGGACCATTTCGGCCTAAAGCCTCCACCTGAACATCTTCGGAGGCCCGATAGGCTCCCCACCAGGCTCACTGATAGCTCTTAGTAGTCAAAGTGAGTCCCCAAACTCCCAGAGTGCCTCGAGCCTTTTTCATCCATCAAATGATTGCTGTTGGGACTTCGACATGAGCATGGCAAACAGAAAGGGGATCCTTTTCGAGGCTCCACAGGCTCCACCAACTTTCTAAAGTGCGGACTGCAGCGTGAGCACAACACATTTATCCAAAGAATCCAATGTCTCACTGCCCCCATGCAGACCCGAACGATGGAGTACTCGTATCAGGTTTCGAGCACACCCTATTCTTGATTGGCATTTGCAGGTCCAGCACATGGTTTTGATCTTGGTTCCAATCATTTCCAATCTGTGACATCCACTTTTCCACCACGTGGAGTAAAGAGTTCTCCCAACAATCCCAAACGGCTCCTTCCCACCGAGCTTCAACACCTCTCTGCCAGCGCCGCCAGCGCCAGCGCCTTCGACCGTCGCCGCCAGCGCAGCGATCTCTTGCACCGCCCGCGCGATGGGCGGCGACTCGTCGTTGAGCTGGGCGGCGAGGTCTTCCACAGACCGCTGGACCGACGGAGTCCTGATACGCGGGAGTCCACGGTCGTTCGATGGTTCGAGAGGGAGAAGAAAAGAAACACGTGGGTTTTCGTTCACGTGTGTATTAGTACCCAAACGCTCCATGGGACTGGCATTTTGACCTACATTGACCCCTAAAACCACCCCAATGTATGTAAATATGCCATATATATATATATATGGAGTGTCTGGGTAATAGAGACCCTCCGAAACCCTAGGTTTTGGCAGATTTTTGATGGTCTTCGTATGGTCTTAGTCTTATGCTTCAGGTTCCGTGAGGTCTGAATCTCCCGAGTGCAAGACACCCGCACACTGTGACACCATTCGCACCAACACGTTAAAGTCATTTGCCCGGTCGCCACGTTCCACGCAGTCAGAGTGTACAATCAAAAGGTCAACCATCTAAGCAAACTAACCTTTTGGTGATGAGACCGGCATGGCAGCGAAACAAGCAGCCAAGATATGTATCTCAAGCAAAACAAATGCAAAATAACCCCTGGTGAAATGGGTGTTGTCACAAAAAGACCCTATGAGGTCGCCCAAGTCCTTGCACTACTGGGCCCGACTTCATCGGTGCGAGGTCTGGTCCTGTTTCAACGACCTAGGGTGGTTTCACCACCTGGCTAAGGCTCAGAAAAACATCATCTGGATACAAGGACATCTAAACCTTAAGGCCCCGCACTCGAAGATGAAACTGCAGCCACTCATCTATCTACAGAGCTGCCGTGCAGCAAGATTGACAGGAACCGTCTGTGTTCCTTGCCCTGAAAAAACATTTAGCATTGAACGCGTGGCTTGCAATCTTTTCTGAGACAACGCAAACCACTGGCTTTACTGCCTAGTTGGTACCTTAGCATCCCAAACACCATTCAAGCCAACATACGCACTGCGATGGGAAAATGAATGGATGTTGCCACTTCATGGTTGAAGGCTCCGATGTGAATTACCCATGTGAAACCCTCCCAGGCCCATCCCATACGCAACGTGGCCAAACGCCTGGGCGATGCAACCCCCCGTTTCAGGCCATGCCGCAGCAGCGCCCGGAGCTTCCGGGCCACCAAAGGCACCGACAGCTCCTCCAGCTCCTGCACGGCCGCCTAGGAGGGGGCGCGAGCTTGGATCTCCGTACAGAGCGACATGGTTCGGAAAATCCAATGTCTTGACGGTTACCAACAAGAACAATTAGAAGCCTTGTTACTGGTATAGCTTCTTGTTACTTGTAGTAAGGCCAGGAGCTACTAGTAGCTTCTTGCTCCTAGTAGCGATGCCCTGTGTTCCTAGTAGTTTCTTGCTGGATTTGTAGGGTCTTGGATATTTGGGAGGGGTTGGACCCATATATATATATTATAACTTGTTATATATAAATTGCAGAACAGGTATTATTTTTCTAGTTAGCAATTCCAATACGAAGATCCTTAACACAAAGGAAAATGGCATCTTCCTTTTTTCGGGAAAAGACATCTCCACTATCCCAAATACGACAAATGGATACAAATGGGACTGGAGCTTCTTGAACACCAACACTGACTCCTCATGGCCCACCCCTGGCCTGAAAAGGCAACTATGGCTGGCCGTCCCACGGAATGTCTGGGTATGGATGTGCTGGTGGTACTGATGGGAGTGTGGGATAGTATGGGAGAGTGTGGGATAGCCTTTGGACCCTCCACTCGAGTAGAACAAATCGTGGGTGTCTGGCCCGCGAAGAGCAGCATGCCAGCGGCTTTTTGTGCCAGTTGAGGAACATCCAACATCATCCAACACTGTGATGCAGCGTTCAGTTGTTTTCCTGAACCTACTGCTTTCTCTTTGGGGGTGTTTTGTTGGAACAACGGACGCCGAACCCATGGAGTTCCACCTCTTCACCTTGAGACTCCGGAAGTCTCACGAACACTCTCTATCCTTCACACCCGCATGGCAAGCCATGGACATTCGCATGTTTTTTGGCTAGTCCGACTGAACCGCCACAACTGTTCTTGCTATGGGAGTTCATTGCTCCAGCGTGCGGAGGACCGGGCGCGAAGGGGCGAAGATCCAAGGCACCACGCCCAGGTCTTCCAACGTCTGCCTTGGTGCCGAAAGGCTAGCGGTGTGAGAGGAGTCGTTTTCTTAGGTGGACAATAGATGGTCCAGGACCCACCCAACAGCGGTGAATGGATGCCCCTTAACAATCCTCAACCCAAGAGTGGACGAACCGTGACAGCTTGATGTGTCTTTTTATATCTTTTTGCTTAATCATTTCGGTCACGCCGGGCCATTCCCAATTCAAAACAAATGTAAAGCATGTGGCTTGGCTTGACAAGAAGAAGAACCATGGGAGGCAAAGGAAGTCAAAGCAGAATCATCTTGGCTCAGCATCCAAGAAGAGCCATGAAGAAAAGGGAGACAAAACAGAAACGTCTCAGCCCAGCATCTATGGGCGGCAAAGGGAGACAAAACAGAATCATTTCTGCCCATCATCTAGAAGAGCCATGGCGGACAAAAAGAGACCAAGCGACACAGAGGGAGACAAAAAGCCAGAAGTCAGCTCGGCCCAGGATCGTGTCGACGCAAGAATTGAGAAACCTCACAGAGCAAAGTTATTTGGTGAACAAAATCCGAGGAAAGATCGGCGGAGGTCGGCTCAGGTGAATGATGCCAAACCCCAAACCTGGTGGCAAAATCAGCGGACAGCATAAGGGTGAACGGATACTCTTCAAAGCAGGATCGGCACTTTTCGACAGACGCTCAACGTCCGGGCTATGGCTACACAGGAGCCTTTTGAGCTCCTACTGGGGTCCTATCACCTCTGTGTAGCTCGAACCGCAAAATTGCGGATATTCGGCCTCACAAACAAAGTCAGCCGCAAGGGCTTGTGAATGTTTGAAGGTTAATCCTCCTCCATCCCCTCCTTCCTACCAAAAATACACAGAATCCGATTTATCATTGCTGCTGCAACGGTCAAGTCGCGCATATAGATGTGGCGCAGGAAGACCGAAACAGAGCTGAACTTTGACAGCGGTGTTGAAATCTCTAATTAGAGCAGCGTTGTGCAAAAGCTGAGTTTTCCGCAGCGATGCACGAACACTGCAGCAGTCCCACTCCCGATGGTATGGAACCAGAATACGGGAAGACAAATCATGGCAGGGAAGACGGGACAGCTGCTTGGAGTTGTTCAAAACTTGGTCTGCATAGATTGTGCCACATCTAGCAGAAAGCAGCTGTTTGATGTAGGCCAGTTCTTTCCTCAAAAGTGGCTTAGTGTTGCACAGGCGCTTGGCTCGCGCAACCAAACCTTTTGGCCAAGCATGGTGAACGTGTAAACTATGCATAGAGTGAGGCGCAAGTGGCTGGTGGAGTCCAGTGGTTTTGTGATGAACTCCTATGTCCAGGAGACCCGTAGACCTCCATCCGGCGCCTTTTGAAATGTCTAAATCAAGAAAATCGCAGCCCTGTCTGCTGACGCTTTCCACTTCTAATTTCCATACAAGACTTCTCTGGCGGAGAAGCCCAACAAAATCCCTCAGGGATTGGGTGTCTCCACTGTGCAAAAAGAAAATGTCATCTTTGTACCGAACAAACAGTTCAACAGAGTGGCGCTTCAACATATCAGGACAATCGACCACTCCTTTTTCAACGGTGGCGAAAAACGTTGCGTCGCACAATTCGCCACTGAAGCCAAGGCCCATGCCAGCTCCTTTCAACACTTTCCAAAGTCGACCATCAAACTGGTCCACTTCGACATATTGCGAATTGAGAACATATCGCAAAATTGTTCGGTAAAAAGTTCGCCGCTTGGGCTCCACGAGGGAACTACTGTACTCCAAAAATTGGGAGTGAAGGCCATCCATGAAGTAGTCTTTAACATCAACTTTCACGAACTGGCAATTCGATGGAACTCTCAGGTTGTTTAACCGACGTACAAGAACTTCACTGTTTTTCAGCAAATGCTCTAAAGTTGAAAGAGCAGGGCGGAGAAGAGAGGCAATGAGCCGGAAAGCGCCCGCGAAACGGAGTGCAAACCGAACTGTGAATGCCCCGAAACTTGACCTTTCCAGGCCCTTTGTGAGTTTTAATGGTGCACTTCAGTTTTGAAAGAGCCTTGCTAGCCCTCCCAATGACCGGTTGCAAAATGCTTCTCAAAAAGGATGATTTTTCTTCATCCGCCATGAAACTGGAAAGGTGAAAAACAACTTCGCTTTCAAATCCTCGAACAATGTCCGCGGAAAACGTTGACGTCCGAGGAACTTCCTTGTATCTGGAAGAAGTTGTGAGAATACGTAGCAACTCAGGCTTGACAACAGATTTGTGGATGAGAGCAAAACCTCCATCTTTGTCCGTACGGATGGCTTTAAAAGGCCCGTCATCCAACAATCTAAGTGCCAAACGAACAACTCCGTACACGTTATAGAGGAAAAACTCCTGTCAGATCGGAGCTTACCACGAACTTTCAGAACTTCTTTGTAGAAGCTTTGCCGGATTTCATGGCAAAAGCTGTCCAGAGACGAAGGGGGTCTTATGTCACAAGGTCTGACAGTACTAGACCGTTGTTTTAACAATTGCCACGCATCAGGACCTCGATTCATGAAAGCAAGCCTCCATCTTAAGCGATGCTCCCAGTCATACAAAGACTGTCCCACTGTCCGCAAGGACATACGTTTTTTGTTCAAAAGAAAGTGTTTGGGGGAGTGAAATCCAAGGAGATATTCTATAGGCCAAGGCATATCCTTTGGTATGTACGCAGAGCGAGAAATATGATCAAAGACATAGACTTTTTCCACGTCTTTGCCACACTTCAGTAAAGTGGTGAACTCCTGCAATGGCATTTGTCGGACCAAAGACCAGAACAGTCGAGAAGCTTGGCAGGCAACATTGGTTTCTTTACTGCCACCTTCCTCGCGCACTGCCAGTCCAAAAGCCTTTGCCATTTCCTTTCTTTCCTTGAGCTTTTCCTTTGGTTGTAGCTTTCCCTTTTCCCTTGGAAGTAGATTTGCCCCCCTTGTGGGGGGCCAATCCGTTTTTTGGCAACCCAGCTTCTTGCACGGGAAGCTTTCCTTTGTTCTTTCCTTTGCCCTTGCCTTTTGGATTCCTCCCTTTTCCTTTGCCTTTCCCTTGAGGAAAAACCTGCATCTTGGAAGGAACCTTTCCTTTGCCTTTGCCTTTTCCTTTCCCATGTCTGGTCTCCGGTCTTTTCTCATAGACCAACTGGGAAATAGACTCCTCATCAATCATGCCAGACATGGCTTGGCAAGCTAGTCCTGCAGAGTTCATCTCATACTTCTGCTTGTCTTTTCGAGTTCGCCCAGCAGGTGCCTTCTTGTCTTTCGATTGCGCAGTGCAAGAATCAATTGCCTCAATGAGAAACTCCTCAGGTGATTTTCGAATGACCTCCTGCACGACCTCATGTTGTCTCTTTCGTTCAGCAGCTTGTTTTTCCTCCTGTGCGCGCTTCACTTCGACTTCAGCATCAACCACTTTTCGGTAAATTGCCAGAATCTTTGCTTTTGCCTGATCAGAACTCAATCCACGAAGTTCCAAGTTAGCAGCAGTGTCAGCGTCAGAATCATCCAAGTCCAAATAAGCCGATGCCTTACGATGCTCTTGTGCAAAAGCTGGAAAATTGGCCAAACATCTGTCCAAAAAAGCCTCTTTTCGGATGTGGGTCTTCAACTGTTGTCTGTGTTTGTCCAAAAGTTGGAGGTCCAGTTCCAATTGCACTTTCAAATGTTCCATGTGGAACTTGCGCTTTGTGTCACGAATCGACATGCTCGTGTCCACGGTCACCGAAATGCCATCCTGGGAAACCATGTCATCCAGCAAATGTGTCTCAAATGTGTGAGAAAAAGGTCGAAATCCTTTTGGCAAAATGCCATCCTGGATCTCAGCAATGTTCCCTTTGACTTTTTCTCTTCGCACATTTGTCTTCTGTAGTCCGCGAATCTTGTTGGACAAATCCAGAGATTGCTTTCGAATATCTTTGAGAACTGCTGGAGCTAAATATCGTCCCAACTCTGCATCTATGAGATCATCAATGGAAGACTGCCCTGGAGTGTTCACATGTGGTCGAGGCCTTCTACTTCTTCGATGTTGATCTGAAGCCTGCGGTGCTTGTTGGATGCTTAACAGCTGTCGACGTGGTCGATTTGCTGGGAGCGGGCTGTCGCCTTCTCCTTCATCCTGATCCATGCCGGAGAGTGCCATTGAGAACAATGAGAGTCAAAGACAGCAAAAGGGTGAATGGATACTCTTCAAAGCAGGATCGGCACTTTTCGACAGACGCTCAACGTCCGGGCTATGGCTACACAGGAGCCTTGAGAGCTCCTACTGGGGTTTAGCCTATCACCTCTGTGTAGCTCGAACCGCAAATTGCGGATATTCGGCCTCACAAACAAAGTCAGCCGCAAGGGCTTGTGAATGTTTGAAGGTTTGAAGGTTGAAGGTTTGAAGGCTTGGTGTGAGAGGAGTCGTTTTCTTAGGTGGACAATAGATGGTCCAGGACCCACCCAACAGCGGTGAATGGATGCCCCTTAACAATCCTTAACCCAAGAGTGGACGAACCGTGACAGCTTGATGCTTCTTTTTATATCTTTTTGCTTAATCATTTCGGTCACGCCGGGCCATTCCCAATTCAAAACAAATGTAAAACATGTGGCTTGGCTTGACAAGAAGAAGAACCATGGGAGGCCAAGGAAGTCAAAGCAGAATCATCTTGGGTTAGCATCCAAGAAGAGCCATGAAGAAAAGGGAGACGAAACAGAAGCGTCTCAGCCCAGCATCTATGGGCGGCAAAGGGAGACAAAGCAGAATCATTTCTGCCCATCATCTAGAAGAGCCATGGCGGACAAAAAGAGACCAAGCGACACAGAGGGAGACAAAAAGCCAGAAGTCAGCTCGGTCCAGGATCGTGTCGACGCAAGAATTGAGAACCCTCACAGAGCACCAGCAGTCACAAAGGGGTGCTTAATGGAGGTTAGGGGTGCCCATTATCCACTCACTTGGGAACTAAACACCACCCCTTTGTGACTCCTGGCAAAGTTATTTTGGTGAACAAAATCCGAGGAAAGATCGGCGGAGGTCGGCGCAGAAGACATGATGCCAAGGGCCCCCAAACCTGGTGGCAAAATCAACCGACAGATCGGACAGATCGGATGGGAACTACAAAACACTTAAACAGGTTTCAATGACGAAGTGAGCATGTCATGTGGTATGGGACTGAACCACACACCCAGTCGGGTTGGTTCATGTGCTGAAGATTCATGCCCAATGGCATTCCCTTGCCAACAGGGACCAAAACGTCGTGGTCTGCCTCATCCATCCGACCTGATTATTCCGGACTACGCTGATGTATTCCATCACTCTTGGGAGCCTCCATAGCCGGGGGTTGAACCCTCCAGAACACAAAAGAGTTCCAGTATCTTAACTCTTGAATGGCTCACCCAGTGCCCAGTGCATCCCAGTTGCCACTATATAAGGAACCAGGGATTCTAGGTCTATGGTTTCAGTCTTTGGAACCACTGGTTACCAGCTATAATTAGTGGTAACTGGATGCCCTGGCTCATGCTTTCAACAAGCGCCGGACTTCTGCTTCAGCTCCTCCCTCCACCTTTTGAGCTCCGTCGATCCCTTCCTCTGCCTTTCAAACCTGACTCCCGAACCGTTTCCGAAAATCAAGGTGTTCGCTGAACTTTCCATGTAGTCGGGAAACCAATTCCAAACAAAAGGTTGGGGCAGGTGATCCAGTGGATAACACAGCTAACCTCCCCAGTCCAACTGGGGTACGCCCCACCCAGGAGTTTGAACATCCCTAGTTATCCACTTTTCCTGGGTAATTGATCCACTCACCTCTTGGCCTTTCTGCGCTCAGCAAGTCGTCCAAGTCGCCCCCAGAAGGGCTGATCGAAGGCCAGCGGCACCACCAGCTGTGGCCGCCCCACGCGCGCCGCGGCCAGCACGGTGCCGATGCCGCCGTGGTGGATCACCACGGAGCACTGGGGGAAGAGCCTCGCCAGCGCGGAACGGCACAGGTCGGATCCGTCGGCGCAGCGAGGCGCACAACTGGGCTTCCTAGGGCATGGACGCGACGAACGGAGCTACGAACGGGGACGAAATGGAACCAGAAAGCTACGAACGGACCTCCTAGGGCATCGCTACGAACGGAGCAATCGGACGCTACTAAAGGGGCTCCTGGCCTCACTACTAGGAGCAAGAACGCTACGAACGGAGCGATCGGACACGACATAGGGGATGCCCAATGTTCAATCTTCGGCCCTGCAAGCCCCTGCGCAGCTTCCCCGGGCGGGCCGAAACGGCCAATCATGTCCACGTGCCGATCATGTCCACGTCTCAATTGAAAGACCCGGCTGGCCCACCTCAACTTAATTCTAATAGCTTTTTGTTACTACTAGTAAGGCACTTGTTACTACTAGCGAGGCACTTGTTACTAGTAGTAACAAGAAAGGCCCACCTCAAGAAGACCTACCTGGCCCCGTTCTTCCTCATCGATCCGACCAGTCCGGCGGTCCCTCGTCATGCGGTCCCGTCCGTTTCCACGTCACCCACAACGGTGTCTGACAGTTCTGGGCCTTTTTGCCTTCGCCTGTCCCCAGGCCTTTGACATGTATTACACCGACTTCTATACGCCTACATCATCCTATCATCTAATGGGCCTGCATCATCCTGCATCTATTCACCTAAATCGATCCGCCTAGATCCATATAGCTACATATGTACACCTACATGTGCGTACACTGACGCACACACTTCAATCGGATATCTACATACAAATATCTACACACTGTCTTAACACGCGATGATGATCTACACACGTGATGATGACACATCTATACATACATGTGTGCAAGTTACAAGTTGCTAGCTGTTCTTTACGGAGAAAGACACACATTCTTTGGAGAGGTGTTATGAATATCTTAATTATGATATCAAATAAATCAATCCGAAAAAAAAAAGAAAGAAAAACCACAGAAGTCACCATCCATGGTTGTGCGGAAACCCTCCGGGTGACCATCTCCGGGTGACCATCCATGTGGCACATCCTCACTGCAGCAGAAGACGAAGCGCGGAGTCGGATCCACCTGAGCTTCGAGGGTTCGGTGGTCCATCCACGAAGGGGAAAACGAAGGCAAGACGTAAAAGGGGAAGGCTGAAAAGGGAGAGAACATCTGAAAAACCTCGTGTTTCTTTGACATGCAAAACATGTGCAAGGAGATGAAGCAATGGCGATTTGATCACACAATTCGACTGTTGGTGTTGGATCACCCAACAGTCCGATGGGTGCGAATGCGAAGCACACCCCCTCCGAAATCAATGAACATCCGATTTAGACAAACACCCTCATCCTATCTGACACAGCTTCGCACAAAAAGATGCAATGAAATGGCATCATTTCAGCGACGACGGAGGTGTGTTTTCGTCTGATGTCGAACATGGGAGACATTGTTGGCTATCTGTTCAGTGATCTTTCAACGAATTCCGGAACGGATTGCCAGCCATTGTCAAGACCATGACAAATGTTTCACACATGTTTCTTCTTTCTGTCACCTCTGGTGCCCTCATAAAACGGTGGAACTTGGTTCAGTTCAGTACACCAGGCAAAATGCCGGATGCTCTGGTAGACCAGGCATGCCTGACATAGGTTGAAGTGTTTTGAAGTCAGGATCAGTCGGCCAAGAAGAAAGAAAAGTGAGACTCCAACATTTTCGGCCGTGACGTCTTTAGTTGAAACGACTGTTGGATTTTGCAACAGCAGGAATGGCCTTTAAACTAAGATGTGTGATAACAGGTGGATCTTAAAACTGAGAGTGCTACTGGTGATGAGCTCAGTCTCTTCAACAACCATTCAGAGCTGGCTGCCGGTTGAAACACCGAATTCGTCTTCATTGGGATGCTTCCTCCCAAGCATTCAGAGATCGAAACACAAACCTACATCTCCTGCTGCTTGATAGTTCTTGTTTCACCCTGCAAGGCCAGTTCCATGTTGTTGATGGTGAACTCATTAAGATGGAGCGAAGCCGTGCGTCCAAGCCGTGCGTCCAAGCCGTGCGAAGCCTGAAACGACACCGTCCGCTGTTCCACCCACGTCACCCTTCGCCATGGCGCGGACTGCACCGCAGCCATTCCGCACCAAGCACCGAAAGGACAAAGAACATACACGAAACACCTTTGAAACATCGGGACCATCGCAGATGCGACATCCGGACACTCGGTCCAAAAGACCAACCCCAAAGCCTAAACCATCCCCAAGAACCACATCGAGGCGCATAGTGTATAGTCAAAAGTGAGTGGCTTAAGAAACTGGGAAACAAAACTATTTCCCAGAAGGGTACGGTATTCATCTTCAGGAACATTTCAAATCTCCCAATCCCCAAAACCCAATTTTTATCCTCGCACCTGCGCGAGCGTGTGTTGCATCAGCACCACCGGGCGCGCCATCCACTTGGCTGTGTCCAAGAAGACCTCGCGACGACGCTCGAGGGCGGAGAGAGTTAGAGTTGTGATTCCCCAAGAACAGCTCCCCCTGGGAGATACATGAGGACCTATGAGGACACATGAGACCCCCAAAAGCATGTCCGACAAAATGGAGGACACACAAGGACACACTCTGAAAGCTGCGAAATATGTTCAGCTGTCTCGCAGCTGGTCATGCCCTGAGTCTTGAAGCGGTGCAGTCTTGTAAATCGAACCTGGGGGAACACCACTGGGAACACCCTATTTGCTAGTAAGTTGTGCAAGTTTGATGATTGTGGAACTCTCTCTCTCTCTATATATGTATATAGCAGCTTTATCACGCACCTACCCAAAGCCCAATCTCTTATATATTGTATTATATATATGCTCTTTGTAGTCCTCATTTGCCCATCAGATCTTGCCCCGCTTTGCCATACTTTGCTCACCAGGTTTCTTCTATTTACATGATGCTTGAATGAAGACCTGTAACCTTCTAGTTCCAGAATATTCCCGATTTGAGAGACTTCATCAATTTGAAATCCCGAGACGTCAACGTGTGCTTCTGGCCGACGGCAGTCTCTCTTGGCTATCCCGCTCTCTCTCGGGCTCACGTTCATTCTGTGTTGCCAGGTTCTACCTCAGTCCATTCCTGGACAAAACATGGTCTGGGATTTGCTTCATAAGGAACCGGGAAACACTATGAAGGTTTACACCCATGCCAGCGGATTCACCCAGTTAACTGGAACACAACAAACATCCACCTGATGTGCAAAACCACGTGAATCTGGGCTCACTTCCAGGCGACTCCCAAGCAGGTGACTCTTTTCGTCCACTTTCCGATTCACTTCTCTTAGCGTCTTAGCTTTCCTCTTCAACCTCGGGGCACCGAGCCCATGTGGTCACCAAACACCCCCTGATGCCTTCCGTGCGCTCCCGAGCTGAACACCGAATTCGCCTCGCCGCGCCTCGCCGAATTCGCCGAACGGCGGCAGTCGGCGTCGGTCGACGCTAGATCCACCGCCGCACCTTCAAGACCTTCTCGGCGTCTGGGACTAAGCCCTCCGCCTTGGGACGCGGGACGCGGACGCCCGCCTTCGACGAGGGGGGCGGTGGTTGGGGGCGGTGAAAACGGCGCAGGCGCAGGCGCAGCAGCACGGGGGCCCGAGATCGATCGATCGGAGGGTTCCATCTCTTGAGGGTCGATCGTTGGTTTCAAGGTGGCAGATTTGGAGGACAACGGTTCGTTTGATCAAGAAAGAGCTGAAACGAACAAATGCATAGACACATATAACATGCAAATTGCGTCGATCATATATATTGATTTTGATGAGCTCTAACATATGAAACTATTGCTGACCTGGGTGGGCGTCGGAAAAATACAGTGGAACAAACACTTCGAACGCAATCGAATCACAGGGAAAAACCTTCAGGTTGGTTGAGATCAACCAAAACTTGTCAGAGCCCATGGAGCGCAACAAAGCCCAAAACTGTTCAATTTGTTTCCCTTCGAGACAAGCACGATTCGTGCACAAACACCTGTCACGCTTTGCAACAAAAGAACACTCCAAAGGTAGGGAAAAATGACTGTCATTCTTTGCCTGCCTGGGTAGGCTGCTGTGATTCGGCCAGTTATGCCACAAGGTATTGATCACCGACATGGAACTCTGTGGATGTCCATCTCCATCTAACTGAGCTCGAGCGTGTAGACTACCAAAAGGAGCATTCTCCCTGTTCCAGGCTCACCTTGTCAAAATCGATGTTTGCCCACACATGCTCACACAGGTTACCTTTGAATGAAGAGTTTCCCTTCAAGTACACCCTATCACACAAATAGGTTCCTTGGCAACCAAAGCTGGTCTTTTGAGCCGTTGATTACCGACTACAAAAATCATGAAACACCTATTGGGTGCTGACTATATGGGAGTCGATGAGGTTGTATCAAAAAATGCCGAAAACGGTAATCTCCTTGCCACTGGCTGAGCCTCACACTCCCATACTGCCAAAGCCGATGTAGAAGGGAGGCCCAGTCAGTTGCCCCTTGGCCACCTCTTCTTCACACCTGTTGTCGCGAACGAAGAGTCGGTGTCCCAGTTAAGGACCCTGGTTGATTTTGCTTGGTTGTGTGTGGTTGATCTTATCCCGGTCCAAGATCCAACCAGGATATTTCTTGGCGAAACAATCACTTTTGGGGGGACTTGGGTTCGTCCCGTCAATTTGCTGTTAGGAAGGCCACCTGAACAGCAAAGGTTTTGTGGACGGGGGACCGTGGCAACCACGCATTCGTGCGACGCTTAGGGCATCGCCTCGACTGCCGGCCACAAAAACACAAAAGGAACACACAAAGAGATCAACAACTGTGAGGACTGCGGTTTTGAGAACACCTCCCGCTGCGACAAGAATTTCCCATGTGCGATCAACACCCACATCCGGCACCAACAACATCCCTTATAAACAACAGGCTCCCCACTGAACCTGCGCCACTGAGACATGCTGTGCCCCGGTACTGCCCGATGCCAAGAGGTTGTATGGGGCCGTGATACGATTGACATCGATTGAACCAGTAGTTCTATGGGTTTGTCTTGGAATATGGAGGCCCCCGTTTGACACCCTGGAAGGAGGAACTATAGACCATATAAATTGGTGGAGGAGCCTATCAAAAAGCAAACCCACATAACATAACCCTGAAACTTCGCCTGTCCTTCCCTGGGCTTTTTCGATCGAGCAAAGCCCGATCGCCATCTCTCCCCCTTTAAAAGGAACCACCAGCGCAGCCCAGGCACTGCGCCAGGAACTCCACCAAGGCCTCCACATAGGCGCTGCAAAGTAGTTGAAAGGAAGGATCCCTTAAAAGAATATGGACGTGGAAGATCAGCCCTTGGAGGTTGTCCATTGGATTGCGTGGATTGCTTCACCTTCTTTTTGTGATCACAAGATATCACAAGAACTAACGTGGAGGAAGAGATGGTGAGATCTCAAGAAGTATCACTAGGCTGACCATTCGCCGGAACTATCTAAAGGCACACTAAACTGGGTTGACTACCGAGCGGCAAGGCATGCTTATTTGTCTCTTTGGTTTCAAAATGCTTTGTGGACTAATGGGGCTCTTTGATGCACACATCTCGCACGGAGGCAGAGAAGCGGAGAAGCCTCCAAAGCGCTCTCCAACCCCCAACCGTGTCTTTTGATGAGACGGCTCTCCATGCGGTGCCATGCGGGGCCCTTTCAGAGTGATCTTTGAGGCGATCAAGTTCAACCATATGTGGTCGCCTTGAACGTTGAACACAGTGGTTGCCTCACCCCAATCATCATCCCTACCATGCAGTCTCTGTTTGATGATTGATGGACGGGCGGAGTTGGAAAACACGTCTTCGTTGGGTGCGCAAGAGGGTCAGAACTGATGCAGCTGCCCGTCTTTCTTCGCCGCACAGCAGCGGGCCCATAAACAATGCAACTTACAAAACCAGATGGAAAAGAGAGAGCGAATTCTCCGCCGCTGCCTGTCATCGCATACACCGCGTCGCACTGAGACGTTGTATTTCAAGACAGTGAGCCCGAGGCCAACGAGTGCGGTTTCAACGCACTGAGATGTGCCCGAGCGAAAAGAAAGGGAGCACAGGCAGCTGCGTAGACCATTGATGCCTTGACATTGGGGCCATTTGCATCAATCGCCAGATATGCCCAGATTAGTGCAAGGCTGCTGCGCAAGGCAGCTGCGAAGCCCCCTTTTTAACTGCTGCAGCAAGAACAGCAAGAGCAAGCCTGGGCGTTGACACCAAAGAGACTGACAGGCAAGCGCTGCACCAAGGCCCGACTCCTCAGCAGCGGGGGTACGCAAGAAGTAGGTGTCGTTAGCCCGAACGGGCCATTTCATTCTTGGCCTTTCAAGACTCCCCCAACGAAAAGTCAGCAACCATGAAGCCGAAGGGAATGTCAGCCACAGGATCTCCAGGCCTCTATGGCGGTCGTTTCACCGCCTGCAGGGCATCCTGGCTGCCAGGATGCCTGCAGTGCCTGTTTGATCGATTGAAGCGTCCCTTTTCCAGCCTATGCAGCCCATGATGCCCATGAAACCGGACCCCATGGACGGCCACCAAGCTTCAAGGATCAACCTCTTTGGTGCTCCAATCACACTGGGGCTCTTTGGGGGTTGGGAGGATTGATCACACACCAATGCATGCCCATTCCAGGCATATTGATCCACAACATGGACAGCATTCGGTGGTGGACGAGGAACACTGACAGAATGACATGACTATCCTAGTCCCTGACCTGGCAGGTGAGGAAAGACATCAAAACCAGGGGCAGAAAAACCAACATCGGTCGTCACAGCGGCTACCAGCTAATTACCACAGACGACGCCCGATGTTCTGCATTATCTTCCAGACCAACCGCACGATTTTTCACCCGCCTGGCGCAACAACCGCACGGCTACGCGGGAAAACGAAGACGAGCACAGGTCCAGCGCTGAACGCGTCCAGTGGAACAACGCCTGAACGCACCATCTGCCGTCTCCCATCTCGGTGCCACTGTCTGGGTGCGCTGTTCAGCCAAGGCTGCGGGTTGATGGAGCTTCTTTGGAAGCAGCCGAAGGCTCTCGAACTTCACGAAGTCGTCCATCACCACCTAGGAACCTTGGCCCTAACACCACGTCCTGGCGCCCGGACCTGGAACCTGCATGTCGCGCCAAGTGCCTTTGTGCATCAAGTGCGCCGGGGATCCTTCTCCACATGTCTCAGGATTTCTAGAGGTCGCTTCATCGCTTCATCGCGCATGGCCGCATTGCCATCGTCTCCGGCGCCGAGGGGTCGAAGTCGTGTTTGTAAATTTTCTACAAGGTAATAGTAGGGAGAACCTTTTTTTGTGAATGTGGGAGAAAACCAAACACATCAAGAACCTGGAGGCAGTTGTCTTCCTGCATTCATTCTGTCCATTCTTAAATATATCTTATTCCCACAAATTCAACCTATCTCTTACGCCAAAACACTTCGGTTCCAACCGAATAACTGTCCCAACCCGGCTTTCGTACTTACTTCCGAGTCTTGGGCAGAACTTCCAAAAAAATTGTGCGCGCGCCTTTGGCTGCTTCCTCGCGCGGTCTTCCGCAGGGCTCCAGGCGCCGCAAACGACGGCGGCCGGCGGCAGGGTCACGGAGGCTGGTATCAGGGCTGCAGGAATGCCTCGGAAGGAAGGGCATGCACATTTGAGATCCCAAATCGCAGTCTGTTCAATTGCCTGATTGCACCTAATTCTAAATCTTGAGGTTTGGCCCTAGTCAACCCTTGGACTCATGCAATAGCCGGTGCCCTGGTAGAAGGAGAATCAGTTCTTTAAGGCGAGTTTTTTAAATAGGAGCACCATGCGAATCCCACGAGTCAGGACCGTGTGATTTTGTGTGGGGGAGTTTGGCCACCACACAGCTTTGCTCTTCGCTCCACGCCAAGCAAGCTTGACATTTTCGTGTGGCGTCTCCTCTGGTATGTTTTTGTTCCTTGCATGTTTCTTTGTGGTGCTTGACAGTCTTTGGATGGCCGGCATCATCGGCTGGGGTCTTGCGTTCTCAGTGGTTGCCAATTCCTTCAACCCTTCATTGTTAAAGGGGTGCGTGGCGCCGTGAGTTGTTCTGTTTTTTTTTGGGTCCTTTTTCCTTATGAAGGAATGCTTGTAGTGGTCCCGGTGGGCCCAACGAGACATGAGTGATTGAATGCGCACAGTAATCCACCAAAGACTTCGTTGTTGCCTTAACAAGGTTGTGACCTCGCTTTGTAAAAAGAATCGACCATTCCCATAGAGACTCAAACAGGAGAATTTAGTTTACTCCCTAGCTTGAACAAGTTGTAGAAATTTGTCCGTGTTTATTTAGATTTTGAACAGGCCGCAAATAGTCATGATGGCCGCAAGGGGGAGGGTGCAGCTGTATGCAACTTCTGCTGGCATCCCCCTTGATTGTTCATAGGTGGCTCGATTTTTCATTTTATGAATCATTTGTGTTTATAACATGTGAGGGATAGGTGCTTTGGTTGATAAAATGAAAAACAAACTAGTTTGTAAATATAATAACCAGCGTAGAGAAAAAATAGGTGGAATCAGAATTGTGAATCAGGAAATGTCCGTCTGATGCCACATCCGTAGCTTTATACAATTAAAGTTATTGGTTTCAAGAAATCAAATCCAAACACCAGTTCAAACTCCAGTCCAGAACTTTTGACCAGCCACCGACACCTCGCCAGCTGAATCCCTATAAAGTGATATTTGTGGGTTCACCTGCCATCTATTACTGTCACTCAGTCTCCAAGGTACTGAAGTTTATTAAATGACCTGAGTAAATCGATACTCCAGATCTTAGGTAGTTATCCAAAATATGTTGCAAACATACAGACCCTTATGTTTATGCAATATCTCTTAAAATTTGCATTTCATATAAGAGAAAAGGACCGTCAGTTCATAAATTTTAAGGCTTCATTCATGGGGGATCTGCTGGCAAAGTTTGTCCAAGCAATATCCAAGTTTGGCCCCATATCTCACCGTTGCCACCGAATATATAATTGCCCTTGCTGCAGCACCTGCTTCGAAGGACAAAGAAAACAAAAACCAACAAAGAGCAAAGTCGAAGAGCGCGTGCCTCCACGGACGTAACAGTCCCGATTATGCCGAAATCATGCTGCAGCTGGTCAACAGTGATGTCAAGGCAACTTAGGCATGGCAAGAGCGCTGCGGACTCTATCAAGCGGCCTTCCACGAAAGAAACAATGCCTCCGCAAGAGCTGTTGGTTCAACTCAAAAGCATATATATATCTCTGTGGCTAAGCTTGCCTTTGATTGCCAAATCGGAGGCGCCCTCGTATAGATCCATTGCTCCCCGAGGTGTCCGCGCCGCTTGGGCGAAATTTGCCGGCCGACTGCAGCATGTTGCTTTTCTTTTTGTTCATGGCGCAGCAAAACTGCAAGGGGCAATACATCAGCGCATCCATCAAACGAATAGGCGACAAGATTAAGCTTGGCAAGCATTTTCTTGGCCGTGGGTAAGTCCCAGTAGGTACATCCCCTCGGCCACTCGATCGCTACACGTATTCCATCAGGAAAAGCAGACAAAAATTCCACGAGTGACGACCATAGCATTGCGACTTTCTCCGGTGCAGTTTCACCTTTCTGCTGCCCGTGGGGTGTTTCATATTTACATATGTCCACGGGGTGCCCCCCGTACAGGGGAGGCTGACCCAGATGAGCACAGATTTCTCATCATTGGTCTTCAAGCGCTGTCGGACTGCTGATGCGATTTGGTTACGGTTGTTGCTGGAGTTGAAGTCAAACTCTTCCGTGAATTGCAGCACCCGACACCCTTCAGCAGCGCAGCCCTTGACTTATCACTCAGTTTGGAATTGCTCTCACAGCAAACTTCAATCAATAATCTCCGAGATTCAGGCTCGGCGAGAGCTTCCGCCCCCGCTCGGCTTGGCAGGCGTCGAAGGCACCTGCATCGAGTCAGTGGCGTTTGGCATCTTGTCCCAAATTGACAAAAGCTTTAATGCCGAGCCCCATTTCTCAGAGTTGGTAAATGGTTTAGTGAATATGTCTGCAGCTTGCAGAACAGTGGGGCCATGGACCAATCTATACCACTTTCTTCCAAACTGCTCCTCCAGCCATGAAAGATTAACCCTCTGGGTCTTGTCAATCTGTCTGAAGGCCGGGGACTTGCCAGACTCGAAGATCCGAATCGTGGCCTGGTTGTCCTCGACAAACACTCCCTCAACGGACTTGGGCGCAAACAAAGTGATGTCCTGAGAACCTTCTCTTTCCATTCCGAGAAACTCCCAGTCGGTCAATGACTCCCTTATCTCTTGAGATTCAACCTCTGCTCAGTCAGCTTCTGACAGAGGTCTTCCTCGGACAAGGTCGAGTACTCAGCCTGATGGAATTCCTCAGGCCTCTGACGCGTGGCTGCAATATAAAAATTGCTTCCACGTAGGGCCCGTGGTGCGTTGATATCCTAAGGTCACGGCGTTGCTCGCACAGAAACAAACTACATCAATCATGTCCCTGCCTGCCTGGTGTTTGCGGCATAGTAATTTGCCGCGATCTGCTTGACCGGTAATGCTTGGACGGGCCTTTCGAGCTTTTCAAAAATCACTGATTTTGCTGGGCATCGGGCACAGGATGGCTGCGCGCCATGCATCAGGATGCTGGGCACACATTTCACTGGTGTACCATGGTAGACAACCGGTAGGCCGGCCTCGGAAAAAGATGTTGTTTTTCGTGACTTCGTGAGTGCATCTTTGCTGCTTAAGGATTCGCCTGGCTCGAGTCGGCTCGAGAGGCTCGTGTACCAGCTCAAGGCGTTCAAAGCAGATGCCGGATTCCTGAGGAGATTTCTTAACATACACACTTGCACACGGGTTTGTTTGGGCAAGCCTTTCTCGACGTCAGCGACCGGTCACCGGGTCGTGGGCTTTGTCAGAAACAACAGGAGCATACAACATGAGTCTGTCCTTTGGCTCTGGCTCTGGTAGTTCAACGTGAAAATCGATGAAGTGGTCGCGGTCGTTCAAATCCCATTCAACGCGTCCGACCTGCCAAAAACCACGTGTATCCTACTGAAGACCGAGCGGCTTTGGCATGACCAGTGCTGGCATGTCATCTCGTGATTTCGCAATCTTCACCATGCTCACTACTGCGCACTATTTTAATCACTGTCCCAGGAGGATGAATTCGGGAGTGTGTGGAGCTGGAAGTGTGCTAATCTTTGAGCTTTTGTCGGATGAATTGCCTTTGGCGAAGGCCCGTGGTACGCTTTTTGGCAAGCTCTGCTTCATAGCGGTCGATCTGGGGTTCCAACAAGGATGCATGCTGAAAAGTTTGGTCTTCAGGCATGAAGGTGCTCAGCTCAGCCCCCCTATTATTGATCAGTGTAGCTTTGTCAACTTTTCCTGGAAGCACTTTTGGGTATGCATTCTAACACGGAAGTCTTTGTTCGCGCATCTCTAGCGCATTGCTAGCGCCAGCCTAGCGTAAACAGTTGGTTGGGGTTGGGGAAACCCCCTGTATGCTTCAACATGTCTGCAACGCTGAAAGCAAACAGTTGAATGATAATGCATGATTTTTCAGCATACATACAGCAAACCGCAAGTGAACCACTATCACGAAAGTGGGTCGAGCATGTTCTTGGTGTGATCAATACATGAGTGTTGATCTAAGAATTCCTTCACCCGGGATCCGTCATCCAAAAAATTACTTTAGCCAAATTTTCGCCTTCCTGCGTTTTATCTTTTCGCCGAAGTATGTTGTATTTGTTTTTACCATGTATGTTGTATGACGGATATCATTTTTTCTTGTCGATGGCTTCTTCTGTACTGGCAGATATGAAACAAAAACTTCACTGTTTGTCAACGTGTGTCTTCTACTTAACAGTTGACACCCTGTACATCTCTTTTGTTTCTCCTGGGTGTCTGCAAGAACCAATTATACCAGCATAGACCCCAAACAGCGTCAGCATTCTTTCGGCGTCGGCGTCAACTCCGAAAACGACTGCAAGTATACTTTTCAAAAACCTCCAGCTGTTTGGGAATGCTGTTTGGGAACTGCACGCCCGGACACAGAGCCGGGCCACAGAGTTCAGGGGCGCGGCCAAGACAAGGACAAGACCCGGACACAGAGCCCAGCCACAGAGTTCAGGGGCGCTGCCAAGACAAGGACAAGAGGAAGACAAGTCCCGGACACAGAGCCGGGCCACAGAGCCCAGCCACAGAGTTCAGGGGCGCGGCCAGTGAGTGTGGCCAGCTCTATTTTTCTTAGATAGAACCCCAACAGTAAACTGTTTCGGGAAAAATTGCAAGAATCACTGTGGTAGCCGGTCGCTCAGACATGCTCATAATGGGCTAGGGGTCAAATGTGGCAGGGTGAACCTTCGCCAATCTTGAGCTGAACTTTCACCAAACTTTTGCCTTTTACGGGTAGAGTTTGTGTCAAAGCCGCGCCCCCAAAGCAGCAGCAGAAGTAGTAGTAGCAGCCGCAGCAGCAGTAGTAGCAGCCGCAGCAGCAGTAGTAGCAGCAGCAGTAGCAGCAGCAGCAGCAGCAGTAGTAGCAGCAGCAGCTAGGAGTAGTAGTAGTAGTAGTAGTAGTGGTAGTGGTAGTGGTAGTGGTAGTGGTAGTGGTAGTGGTAGTGGTAGTAGTAGTAGTAGTAGTAGTAGTAGTAGTAGTAGTAGTAGTAGT